TTGTTTATTTGAAGAAACTGTGTCAAAGGAAGAAAATGAGAAGAATATTTGCAATTTTACATTTAAGAAAATAATGTAAGTGTTATTGCAGAATGGAAATTCACTTGGCAGAAGCTTATTCAATGGTATTGAAATCACCTTAAAAAGGTTGACTGCTTGAGCAAGCTCTTATAAGCCTTCTTATGACCAAATATCAACAGTTTTACACCTGTACAACTGGATTCAACAGAACCTGCAACACGTTGACGTTGTTTTGTCACCGCTGGCAGACTATAGATGGAGCAAATGCTTTTATTGCCAAGATTTTTAAAACCTTTACGGACCAGTAAGAACCAAAATATTCATGCCATTTCGTTCAGTGACTAGAAAAATCTTCGCGAAACTGCACTTCCCCTTGACCGCTGTGGTTGAACACAAAATTTACGAAGCGGAAGATGTTGGAGTAGTAGTATCTCGTTATACGTGTATACAATAATAACTTGCGAGTATTCTCATGTTGAGGATAGTTTTTGGAACAAATTTTCAACGATTAAAACCTGATAGATTTAAATAATCGCTCTCCTCGGCCTTGAGAAGCAACTGAAAATTGTTTACAGGAAGCCTATGATTACTATAAGGACTATGGATTATTTTCAGTCTTACATTCTTTTTCAACTTGTAACTCTCGATTTCCTCAGAACGACATCGCCAACTTGCGCCATTCTACAGAGTTACAAATTTTATGCAGAATACGTGCTTTTTTTTGTATAAATCTAGGGCGAATGTGCTCTTTGGATTCAGTTTTTAACTTTCTCCTCAATTACGTCTGCTGGACTGTTTGTGCAAATCACAATTTTCAATGCAACTTCAATAGTGAAGAATATAAAAAATCTAAGAAACTAAAAATTTTTAAATTTCGTCAGGTTTGAACTGTACTAAAAATTCAAGAAGATAGGCATGTCCAGCAGTAACCTGGCAAATTTTATAACCTTGATGAACATAACTTAGTGATAAGGTCGCTCTTCCAATGTTCACCCCCTGGTTCTTCGAATGTGCGCCTCAACTCTACTAATTATTAAATCTTTTAGAAACCTAAAATGCAAGTAAAAAAGGCTAGCTTACCAGCACGGAACGACCCAAATACAATGTATATGGAGATAATGATTACATCCGCACAGGCAAGCAGCTAACAATTATTACTCACCATAGTCAATTTTTCCTCGATCCAAAATCCAACACTTGTTGCACTATTTCAGGATTAGCGGCTCTTGATCACTGGTGAAACAATGAACCGATTTTGAAGAAGCAATTATTTCTTGTTTTTGTATGTTAATTCATTCATTTTTTTTTCTTTTTTTTTTTTGCTTCACACGGTGCTCAGATGAACATTCGGAGCAGCGAAACAGTATTCGTACAATTAAAAATTTCTTGTCGGCAAAAAAAACTATACAAAAAAAAACAATAAAAAACTGTAATCGGTCATGTATATGTCAGGCAAATTTTGAGAAATATCAATAGATCATTTCTTTGAATGTTGCAAGAGAAAAAACCTACTTATAATTTGTATTTTAACTATTTTTTTACTAAGAAGCAAATAGATATTCTTAATATTTCAGTAGTTCAAAAAGGAAAAGCAAAAAACGAAAAATAAATGAAATAAAAAAAACTAGTTTTTTTATTACACATAGGCACAGGATGATCCGTTATAAGAACTCAGGTAGACACTTGCAAATAGAAATTAGATAACAAAATCACTTTTCTACGATAACAACTACTTATCTTTGGTTTCTTATTGTCTCTACCACAAATATCTGTACTTGGAAAAATAAAAAAAAAAACTACGAATTGAATGATTAAGGTTTAATGTTTCGACAAGATGCAAAAAACTGTTTAAACTGCAGTTGTTGCAATTCAATCTCCTTCTGCAAAACTTGTTGCCTTAGCAGATCACTTTTTCGTTGTAATTCTTCGCACAGCTGCCGGTACGTTGGTGATATAATAACATTACTGCTTTCCTGAAATCTACTACTTAATGAAGGTAAAAGAATGTTTGGTTTTTTTATTTGTTTCAACATTTATCGTTAATGCCTCATCATCTCTTGTCGATTAAAACCTTTAGTAATTTTTAACTTCAACAAAGACTCATTACAATCAAAAAGCTGCCGATTATTTCTTGAACGTTTCAATTTTTTATTGTTTACATCTGACTGCAATTATACGTACTTCCACAAAAGAAGTTCTAGATTTACAGTGATTCAAATAACTGTCAAATTTCTGTGTATCTTTCTGGTTAATTTAGTTTTTTGTTCTAAAACTTTCATCTATTTCGCGCATGTTAACGAACATTCTAGTTTCCATCAACTAGAATTTTCTGAATTATTTGTAAATGATGAATAGAGCCTTGCAAGAACTAACGAGTGACTCAAAAAAAGTAATTATACCGTCTTCAGGTCGCTCAGCTCCTCACCAATGTTGTTTTCGGAGTAGACGGACGGAGATAAATACGGTTTCTTTGCCAGTGGTGCCGGACTTATTAGAGGAGTGCTCGAAGAGGGTTTAAAACTTGGAGGTGCAGTAAATGTAGCAAGGTCATCTTGACTTCGATAAATAGGGCTTTTAAACACTATCGCAGTACATGGCGAGCACGACTGATCATTGGCGGTTGCGTCACCTTAATAGTAGTCTAAACTTAAAGAGGCAATAAACTTTAGAATGGTAGCTTACATTTATATAAATGCCGAGTCAAACTGCCAGAAAGGAGAAGAGTTTTTTGCAGTAGAAAAAATAGCTTTTCTAGTTGAAATCACATTTACTTGTGGTATCTGTTGGTGAAGCATAGTTCTGTTCAGCTTCGGAAAGTTTCGAAGGTAGTACTTCGCATGAGGGATTAGAATCCATAGCTAAAACTGAGCTCATTTAAAAAACATAAAACATTTCATTACTGTTCCGTCCGTTGCGCGTGGAGCGGGATAGGTTTGAGAAGATATTGCTTCTGAAGCGCACAACCTTTGCAATTGAAAGCTTAATTCCAAGGTTTACTAATTATAAAAACTTTTCCATATTTCAAGGTTTTTAGGCTTGATTTAGAAAAAAGTAGTAAAGGCTTGCTCATGACATTATCAACAAACAATGTACTTCACTCGCGAAAAACTCTTACGCAGAATGACGTCATCACGGATTGAAGTTTGAACAAATGGAGTAGACTGTGAAGCGACTACGGGCGTCAGATTTTTGACTTTCGGTTGCCAAAGCAGGATAGGCTTCTTGACTAGAGAATAAACACAGTGAATTCTAAGGACTTCTGGAGAAGTTTGGATTTTGGCTGAACACTGTATCCAAACCCATTGTTTCCCTTTCGTTTTGAACCGATGAGGCTCTATCTGACCAGATCCTCTTTGCATCACTGAAAAGGTGAATATAAAGTGCCATTAGAAAATGCTGAACTCTGTTTTTTATTTGCAAAATTTGTGCCAGTAAATTTCCTTCTACTTGAAAAGTCATAAAAGTTTTGGAACCACAACGAAACTGACAACGCTGATGACATATTGAAACCGATTCCAGATCTTCATGATGAATGAAGTCGTACCCGCTTTTTCCGATCATTTCCAAACGACTGTAACCAAGCAACAATCCACAGCTATAAAATGCGGAAATACACTTTCACTAGGCATCTTCTAGTTTCATTAATAGTTTTTTGATCATATAGCACAAAATTAGATATGTGTTTTATTCACTCACCTGGAATCTGTATAAAGGCACTGGAAATTACTGTTATAGATAATGGTAAAAGTGGTAGATTTGCGATTTCTTGGAAAAAATTCTGATGAAATTTCAACGCTTAAGCTGAAGTTTACCGGACGAGCGAGGCCAACATAACAGAGTGAAGTTTTTTGCTAGAATAAAAAGATGGAGAAGAACCAGTAAGAGAAATGGAGAGAAAAGTAATCAGTTCAATACAAAACACATAATTAAAAGTTTAAAAAGGATATTCTTTGAGCACCAATAACCTGTAAATCGTTAGCTGGCGAATCTTGTCCGGTAAGAACTGGTTGTTTCCTATCGTTGTCCAAAAGTTGACCAAACTGTTGTATTGAAAAATAAACATTAGCAATTCGTTTAATGCGTCCAATTAGCAACAGTGAACGCTTACGATATTTATCAACTACGGTAATCTCAACTATTGACGATCCTGGGTTAGATGTTGTCGATGACGGTACTGCGGCAGCACGTAATACTTCGGTGGAGATAGCTTTGTCAAAACGACGTTTAGAATCTTCATCCAGTAAATCCATAAAATTCTGATTTATTAATTGTGGAACCTGTAATATTGTTAAACAGCTAGTAAAAATTAATTTAGCGGTTACCTACCAAACAATAAAATATAATAACTTAAATTTGTAGCCAGAAACAGATCACTGAACAAAAATATTACTGATGAACAAAACAATGTTGCAAATGTTGGTGATGCTTGATGAACGGTTCCGCTACCACTAATACAAAACGTCCCCGCATCAAGTGCATCCAAATATATTCTGGCTAAATTTCGAGGGTTTTGTTCAGCAAAACTTTGTGAACTTGGATCTGGTGTTAAATTTCCTTCTTCGGTAGTCGACTCGGCTTGTGCTCAAGAAAACTCTTATATTTATTCTGTCATTTAGCGATGCATAAACAGGTAAAATAATTGTGTAGAGATGTACAAAAAAAAAGTTGTATCAATAAGCATCAAATACAATTTTCGGGAAAAAAACACTATACACTTACGCTGTCGATTTTTTAGAAAATTAATTGCACTTTTGAGTACATTGCTTTTATCCATTTTTCGGTCGCCATTTGCGACCAAAAGGGTCAACTCGTTAATCAAGCGATTAAATGCATCTCGACGCTTTTTTTCGCTTTCGTTTCTCGATTTTCTAAAACCAATCCTATATAAAAGTTAAAATAAGCAAAAGAATAAAAAAAGAAAGAGATAAGATTTCACGCCGTCTATTCTTTGTTTCTTTTAACAAGACAATAATGAAAAAACTTTTGTGATTTAATGTTTCAGTTCTAATTTTTTTTTTTTTATTTTACTGTTGTCTTCCTACTCCACGACGTATTCATTTAAACCGTCATTTAAAAAAAAAATAAAAATTAAAAAAAAAAAATTAAAAATTGTATTATTTTAACCGACAAATTTTCCATTCTAACAGAAAAGATGTCTGTCTTACAAAGGCTGATCTATACAGACGGCTCAAGTTCCTTTAAACAGACATTAAATTGGCTGTCAAATTTCACTGTAGTTCAACAGATGTTTAATAGACTATTTAACAAAAGTTATCCAACAATGACTAAAAATCACATTGTCCATCTTGTAATGAGAAAAAAAGTAATGAGAATCTGAGAAAATCGTGATAAAATTTCATTCTACTGGTTTGGCTACATCTTTAGAAGTGCAGATTATAAAACCAATATTCGCTTTTCCCAGTTCGAATGGTACTTTAAAAGCACCAACCCTGTAGTATCCAGTAAACATTCAACGAATTTATTGTTGAAAATTGAGAAGAATAAAACATAAAAAACTGTTTAAGTAATTATGAAGTTAGATTTCCATTACAAATCAAAACTTTTCAAAAATTTTATGGTGGTTTCAGTTTCAGAATCGTCTTCAGGTTCTTCAACTCTCCCATCCCACCAACAGTGCAGCAGTAAACTAAATTTCCGAGTTAACTACTCAGTTGTTCATCGACTGTTTGAATTTGATAATTACGTTGGACACGTTCTCCTCATTTTTTTCTTTTTCTTTTTTTCGTAACAATTTTTAACCCTTTTTTGTTTTTTTTTTTTTTACTTTATAGTAACAGACTTATTGTTACTTCTCTGTCGATAATGACAAATCAGTAATAAAGGTTGTTTCGTGACAGGTAACATACCAAAAACTAAATAAATGCCTACCGTCACAGTTTTTTAAGCGCTCTTAGCAGTAAGAATAGAAAAAAAAAAAAAAGGAAAGAAAAAGAAGGTAACAAAAGAGGAGGCAGTAATGTGCCGGATTTTTTTCTAAAGTAGATAAAAAACTTCACTTTCTTTGATAGAAACTGGAAAAGTGAAATTTTTTAATCTATAAAGCAATATTTTTTTTGCCTTTCAAGGTTTTTACAGAATTTAGATTATCTATCCAATTCACTATAAATTAGTGTAAAAAAACTTCAAAAAATGATGAAGGCGAAGGTTTTTTTTGCTGCTGTCGCTGTTGAAAAAATAATTACTTACAGCACCTAATTAAAAAAATGTTCATCTGTTGTTGAACGACAAACAAACAAAAAAAAAGTGTTTCCATTTATTCCCAAATGATTGAAAAGCTTTTCAGGAACATATACAAGTGCCTGTTCATATGTATGGGTAGAAATGTAGAAGATAAAAAAAAAAAGAATCAAAAACAATTTCAGCAACAACATTGTCTGTGTTCTCCCTATCTGACCAACGATTCCAAGTTTGGGATTTTGCTTCCTTACCCTTTCCATCACCAAATCCCAAAGAAAAAACTGATTAGTTAAGTCATAGTTTAGTAAACCTCTGTAAAAGTTTGATAGAATTAAAAACGAGTAAAATTGGTAAAATAGTAAAATATTACAAATACACTCTATCCTAACACCACGTTAGCCTAAGACTCATCAAGCCATAGAGGATGATCAGCGGCAGCAGTGTTTTAAACCACCAGTTGAACTGCAATCTTTCCTCAACACAACTCCCACTTCGGTGTTTTATCGCTCTTGCTCAACCCTAACTGTTCAGAAAGACCTATTTCATATGGTTAATCGACATTAATTTTTTTGATACCAATTTGTTCATACTGTTTCTGTTTCTTTAAACAATAAAAAGTTAATTGATGGAGATGCTACAGTCGCAAAAAAAAAAAAAAAAAAATTAAATTACAATGATATAATTCCTCAAAATTCTCCACTTTATACGATATGTTCACTACAAAAGAATTAAAAAAAAAAACAAACAAACGGACAGCCATAAAATTTTCAGTTAAAAATATTTTGTTCACTTTGCTTTTGAATTCAAAAAGAAAAAGAAAACAAACAAATAAATGAGAGAAAAAAAGAACATTAAAAAAAACAAAACTGTTGACAACCTTTTTGTGCTAGTAACTGACATTTCAGTACATTAGTTGTAAAATATGCAGTACAGAAAGCTGATCCCACAAATACAGTTAAATAGAAATGGTAGTAACAGCAATACTAACAATAGTAGTAACAGTAGCAGGAGATAGTAACAGCAGAAATTCTTGTACGACAAAAACTGACGAAAAAAGAACGCTGATTATAGTATTAGAACAAAAATGCAGAAGAAAAAAAACCAGAAAAAAAAATAAATACAAGTCAATTCTTTCTTTCTTTTTTTTCTAAAGTATTTTATTTTATTTTATGTTTTCATTATTTACTGTAGTGTAAAAAAGTTTTAAGTTGAAAAATGGAAGGTGAAAGGAGATCGGAGAGAAATTTTGCTGAGTTTTATTTGGAAGGTGGAGGGCAGACCAGTCATTTGGAGGGTGGAGGAAAAGGGAGACGAGAGGAGGAGAGAAAGCGGGGAGTGTAGCTGGAAGGGAAACGGAGGACTAAGAACGGACTGCAGAAAAGGGAAAGGAGTTGGTTGAAAAAAAATAAAGAATTCGAAATTGTGTGACAGCAAAGAACAGAATAAAAAAAAAAAAAAAAAAA